ACCCGTAGTGGCGGCGATGGTGGGAGACGGAGAAATTTTGAAAATTAGATAATACATACACGTGATATCTGAAGGCCTTCTTGAACGGCGCGAATCTCGGCCGAAAATTGTGAAGGCCTTCACCCTTCAGGCGAACACTGGCAACATTGCCATGCGCTTCCTGGCGTCTACCTAGTCTTCCTCGTCGCTGCTCAATTCTTCAAACTCCATGCGCTTCTTGGCTATTAAAGCATCACCAGGCTTCACTGACTTTGGAACCAACGATGTCGCGTTCGCTCGAGCGTGGAAAGCAGCCTGATGCCAAATAACACGATCAGTACGATCTAGAACTTGCTATGCATGCATACCTTGGCAAAGCATCCATCTAAGAAGGTCAATGCTTGCAACACAATTTTACACACGTGTTTATCCTCTCTGCCTCTGTTCGCTTGCCTGAACGCGACCACTTCAAAACCCATCTCCACAATGTCTCCGACTCTGAAACCTGAGGGGTCCTTCGTCGTATATCTAGTACGGATCAACTTGAGTCAATGGCTCAAAAACTCAGACTTACTTTGCCTTTTTCACCATAGATACGGAACATCATTCTCGATACAGTGGGCAACATGTTCTCCGATATGGTGGGACAACATGCCGGCCGGATCGATATTCTTCTGAAAAGTTATCCTCGACTCGTGCGGTATTTCCGTACCGATCGTGTAATATCTGCAGCTACTACTGAGACCGGGTCCATAGACATCCGACTCAGAGTCAGCAACCCAGTGATTCACGCTCGCTGTCGGCGGTAAACTTGGTTGACAATTTGTATGCCAGATCTTTGACATTGGCCAATGCTGCTGAGAAATACTTGGAGTCATAACCCACCACCTCGGCGTAGGCCCTCGCGTATGGGATTCGTGCGGCTGGTATGCTGGTCAAAAAAATCAGACCTTAATATAACGCGCGCATAATATTTACCTGTTTTTTTTAACAAGTGGGAGATCGAATGACTTCAATACTCCTACGATGGTGAACACAGCTTCGTTCTTCGACTCGCCATGCCGGGCCACGACCATGGTTGCCGCACTGCTGATCTTCTTTACACAAAAGTCAGCCGTCTAAAACCTTGTTAGCAATCGCATCCTGCAGGCAAGAATGTACGCGATTGCTGACAAGGTTTTAGCCGGCTGACTTTCGTGTAAAAATGATCAGCAGTGCGGCCACCACGGTCGTAGCCCGGCATGGCGAGTCGAAGAACGACGCTGTGTTCACCATTGTAGGAGTATTGAAGTCCTTCGATCTCCCACCCGTTGGTAAATATTATGCGCGTGTTATATTAATGTCTGATCTTTTTTGACCAGCATACCAGCCACGCGGGTCCCATACGCGAGGGCCTACGCCGAGGTGGTGGGTTATGACTCCAAGTATTTCTCGGCAGCATTGGCCAATGTCAAAGATCTGGCATACAAATTGTCGACCAAGTTTATCGCCGACAGCGAGCGTGAATCACTGGGTTGCTGACCCTGAGTCGGATGTCTATGGACCCGGTCTCAGTAGTAGCTGCAGATATTACATGATCGGTACGGACATACCGAACGAGTTGAGGATGACTTTTCAGGAGAATATTGATCCGGCCGGTACTTTGTCCCACCATATCGAATGACATGACATTGATGTTCGATACAAAAAAGAAAAAAAGAAAAAAGTACGAGTTTGCCGGGGCGTGCCACGGCCATCATCCCCAAGTAACAGGAATAGTGTGTGTACCGCACACCACCGGCACTGATATCCTTCACTCCACACTGACTATGGACTACACCTCCGACTCGCGACCTATATGCGCCCATTGATTTTCAGTACACACGCTTGAGGTGGATTAACTTGAAATTCCCGACAGTGATTCTTGGTTCAGAAATTAACATCGTTGGTCCCAGAAGCATTCAACTCTTCCGAGTGTCCCTCAGTTACCTCGGCAGCAACGTCATTTGGAGGGACACGAATGCGTCTACAAAATGAAAAAAGAGATGCTCCAAGAGCATGCGCCGGCGGGGAGTCGAACCCCGGACTGGCCACTGAATCCTCAATGCACTCATAACAGGTATGGTGTGTGTATCCTACACCACCGACGCGCATACGTTGCCCGCACGCACCTTCGCTATGAACGACATTTCCGGGGAGCCGACGAGCTCTAATCCCGCCAAACGGCCCCGTCCACAGAATAAAAAAAGAAGGGATACTCAAAGAGTATGCGCCGGCAGGGAGTCGAACCCCGGACTCGCCATCGAACTCTTGGTACTTCCTCACATCTTACAGGCACGGCGCGTGTACCGTACACCGCCGACGCGCATAGTATACTCCGCGGGTACGGCTTGCTATGAGATTTATATATTTATATTCTATTGATTTTACAGCCTCCTCCCTCAAACGACAGACGACAGACGACGCGCACCGCCGACGATTCCAGCGCTCAGCACGTCTGACCGACCCACCCGTATTTCGCGCCCCGCCCCGCCCCCCAATCCACTTTCGAATCCACGCTCCGCATCCACGCACGCTCGACCCCGCCCTTCGAGCCCGACTGAAATCCATATATATGTAAGTAGGTATAAGTAAACAAAATAATTACCGTCCCTTCCATAAATTATCCACCTTGCTCCATGCTAACAACTAATAACACCCCTCCCGACCTTCCTAACAACACCCACTGTCCCCCTCCTTCCCCGCCTTGCCCCTCAACCTCGCCTCCACCCCATTCCCCCCATTCCGTATCCCACTCGCCCCCCAAACAAGCGACACCCGCGGATCCCCTTCAAACGATAACTCCGCCTCCGCCTCCGCGTGCGAAGCGACGAGCCTTCGCGCAACCCACCCAAACACGTCCCCCACGCCCGCGCCCGTGCGCGCCGAGGTGCGGAAGTGCGCCGCATTGGACGAGGCAAAGGGGGAGAGGGAGGGGAGGTCGGGTTCGAGGAGGTATTCGGGTGCGACATTGGGTGCGGAGGCGTTCGCGTGGGGAGGGGCGGAGACGGAGGCGGTGGGATGGGGCACCCCGTTCGCGGGCGCGGGTGCGCCCAGGGCTGCGAGCGAAGTCGACGCAGAAAACGAAGCCAACACGCCCACCGCGCCCGCCCCGCGCGGGAAGTGCTGCGGGTAGGGCAGCGGGCTCAGCGCGCTCGAGCTCGGGCCGCCGTCGCTGTGCGGATACGCGGCGGAGGCGGTGTCGATGCTGGACGTGGGCTTGGGCTTGGGGCGCGCATTTGAGAACGGCGAATGCAGAGACGGGGAGGAAGGGGAAGGAGGGGAAGACGAGGAAGCAGGAGGGGAGGAAGAGAGGGAAAGGGAAGGAGAAGAGAGGCGCGCAGCCGTGATCGTTGCCTCGCTCGCGCTCCTCGCACCCGTACTACCCCCAGAGTACGAACGCGAACTACCCGTATTACCGCCCGCGTGCGAGGCGTCCCACGACGACTGCGCGCTGTGGAAGCACTCGCTCGCGCCCCCGCTCTCGCTGAAGACAGAGGAGGAGGGCGTGTGGTACACCGTCAGCGTGGAGGTTACGGTGGATGCGTACTGCGAGGAACGCGTCTTGGAGGTCGGCCGTGATTTTGAGTGGGAGTGGGAGCGGCGGATCGATATGGGGAGCGGTGTGGATAAGGGTGGAGAAGCAGGGGCAGGGGCAGGGGCGGGGCGCGCAGTGAGCTCGGAGGACGCGAGGTCATCTGCGTCGTCGTCCGAGCCCGCCTCGTCCTCGTCGGACAAGGTCAGAGAGGGGGGCAGCGCACCAGGCGAGGCGGGCGGCGTCTCCGCGCGCGGGACGAGCCGACGCACGAACCGCGCGCCTTGCGCCGCGCTCACCACCTCTGCCCCCATCCCCTCCCCACCCTCCCCCTCCAACAAATCGCACTTATTCCCCACCACTACGACACAAAACCGCCCCCTTCTCACATCCTCCTCGCTCACGGGCGCGCGCGCGCAGAACTCGGCCCACCACGTCGTCAGCGCCGTGAGCGTCTCCGGGCGCGTGACGTCGTACATGAGCACTGCGGCGTCCGCGCCGCGGAAGAACGCGGCCGCCAAAGAGGCGAAGCGCTCCTGGCCGGCGGTGTCCCAGATTTGTAAGGTGGTGGGCTCGCTGTTGGGCGGGGAAGAAGGCGGAGGCGGGAGGGTCTTGGTTATGAAGTCGGCGCCGATGGTGGCGCGGTAGGAGGTCGAGAAGCGCGCGGAGATGTACTAAGAGTAACAAAGGACATGGGAATTGAATGGTGAGTTAGGGTTAACGCAAGGAAAGGGGGACGCACCTGGCCGCGGAGACTCGTCTTCCCGACGCCAGAGGCGCCGATAACGACGACTTTGAATGTGGGCATCCTGGGGCCTCAGCGGTGGGCGGAGGCAAGGGGGACAGCGACAAGAGGCTGCGGGCGCGTGACATCAAGCGAGCGACGTGATCAGAGTCACCGTGACGCGATCATTCGGCACGTCGCACTTTGCCGGTGGACCGGTGGTTGGTTGGGTTCTTGCTTCGCGGTACATCGCGGGTTTCCGCCCATCGAAAATTAAAGGCCTCGAGACTGAGTGATGAATTTTAGCCCGCGGAAAGAGGAGGAGGGTGATGGCCTGCCGCCTGCGCGGTCCCAAATTGAAACGCGGAATCATATCATCATATGTACATGTAGTCCATGCCCAGCTTACCTCCTTGCAAAATACCAGCATCGGTGGTGTATGGTACACCCGCCGTGCCGTGTCCGATGATAGCCAGCTAGCCAGCAGTTCAATGGCGAGTTCGGGGTTCGACTCCCCGCCGATGCATAACCGGAATTCAGGGAAATTTACCTTTTTCTCCTTATCAAGCGTCGCGCGAGTTCAACAAACTACTCGCCGCGAATTCGGCGTGTTGTTTAATCCGCGGATTCAGCCTGTCTGTCGATTAAGTGCCTTATAGTGCTACAACATGTGTTGTTGGACTCGGCGAGGTCGATAAAGACGGTTCGGACCGTTCATAGCGAGCAAGCGTATATAGGATATCAGCGCCGGTGGTGTACGGTACACGCGCCTCGTCTCTTCATCAGATGGAGGTAGAATGAGGAGGCGAGCCCGGGGTTCGACTCCCCGCCGGCGCATTCGCAGATAGGAAGGTTTTTCCCTGCTCGCAACGGAATAGAGCTGTCGGAAATGCAGTCCATAGCGAACATCCATGCCTGCGGTGTAGGACCGCCGGTGGTGTACGCGGTACACACGCCATGCCCGTTCAAGTCAGTGGCGAGGACGGGGTTCGACTCCCCCCGGCGCATGAACTCAATGACAGGCAGCTTTTTCCCTGCTCTCGCAGCCGAATGAAGCTGTCGGAAATACAGGCCATAGCGCGCATTGCGTGCAGAGTATCTGCGTCGGTGGTGTACGGTACACACGCCACAGCTGTAAACTTGCACCACAGTGTTTGATGGCGGGTCCGGGTTCGACTCCCCGCCGGTGCATAGCTCGGAGGGAATATGTCTTTTTCTTCTTCTTATCAAATTCAACAAACTACTCGCCGCGGGTTCGAAGTGCTTTTGAAGCCGCGGATGCAGCCTGCCTGTCCATCTAGTCCCATAATAAACCTTGCAATGAACAATGTTGTATCCCCCAGAACAAAAATTGAATTCGGGAATAACCGGCACGGAATCGACAAAGACGATTCGGGCCGCTCAAAGCGCGCAAACATATCTGCAGACTACCGGCGCCGGTGGCATACGGTACACACGCCTCGTCTCTTCGCCAGGTGGATGTAGAATGAGGAGGCGAGCTCGGGGTTCGACTCCCCGCCAGCGCATGGCGAGACTGCAAAATTCCATTTTTTCTTGGTCGACGCGTAAATTCTACCGACGGCTCGACTGCATAGTACCATTCGCTGTGACCGATCTTCGTTCAGCGGCGTACCCACTGGATGGCAGTACTTTTATCTGAGAACTTGGGTTACAAAGCGGGAGAAAGTCTCAGGATTTCTGAGCGCGGTGTCAACTTGCGGAGGGGAATGGCTCGATGGAGCGCCGGTGATGTACGGTACACACGCTATGCCTGCAAGCTGTTTAGCAAGGGCCACGAGTTCAATGGCGGGGACGGGGTTCGACTCCCCGCTGGTGCATAGCTCGGGAAGAATGTACCTTTTTCTTCTTCTTATTAAATTCAACAACATACTCGCAGTGCTGTTGAAGCCGCAGATTCAGCCTGCCTGTCGTTCTTCTCTCTGATAAAATAACGCTGCAACATATGTTATCTCCCCCGTTGAATTCGCGAATGACCGGCACGGACTCGGTAAAGACGGTTGGGGCAACTATAGCGAGCGTGCGCACATAGGATATCAGCGCCGGTGGTGTGCGGCACGCGCCTCTCGACTGTGATGGTTGGATAGTGACATAATGGCGAGGCGAGCTCGGGGTTCGATTCCCCGCCCGCGCATATTGGTCTGCTTCGTGCATTTTTTTATTCGCTCGACGCGCCCGGCTCCCTGAATTGCGGCACAAAGAGGGGGGAAGCAGTATAAATTTTGAGCTCATGAGTACATTAGTAATGGAGGGGCCCGGGTAGATTTAGGGAGAGCCGGGCGGAGATGTAGCTCGTAGCAAGTTGCTGGCGTGCGCCGGTGGTGTGCAGGACACACGCTATGCCTATACGTAACACGACGGCAGGGGTTCAATATACAATGGCGAGTCTGCCGGTGAATAGCTCGGAAGGATTTTTTTCTTTTTCTCTCTATCAATCATCCCCCAAATTCAACAAACTACTCGCCGCGAATTCGAAGTAGAAAAAATTGAATTAGCGAATGACCGACACGGAATCGACAAAGGCGATCGGGGCTGTACATAGCCAGTCTACGTATGCAGGATATCAGCGCCGGTGGTGTACGGTACAGGCGCCTTATGTGTGAACGATAACTCAGAATGGTTCAGTAGCAACTCCGGTGTTCGACAATTGCCACAGCCACCCGTAAAGTCGCTGGCGTCTTCCGGAAAATCAGTGCAAACCCATTCATGCGCTCGACATCTGTGACTCACCGAAGCAGTCCCCGCACCCATCGTCATTGGAATGGCAGACACCGCTATGGTCCTGTCCAGAGGCAACTTGGAGGCCGTTGATCCTGTTGGTCCCGGAGTCGCCGCAGCCCAGCAGGCTCACCGCTGGTTCGAGTCAAAACTGCATTCACAGCTGGGCAAGCCGTCACGCTCACCGTGGTGTCGGATGCTGTCCCGGTCGAGAGTATTGGAAAATGACCCCCGGGAATGGAGAAGTACGCGCAACCTGCGAGTCACGTCTCGATCTTTTTGCGCTCGCTGTGTAACGTGGAATGTCTTGGACAACGCACAGTTTCCGTGGCACGCGACATTTTAGGCCGGGTTGCCGAGGCCCCAGCTAGCGAGGATGTGAGCGCAATATAGACGAAAGAATAAAATTATACGCACTGGCAAACGTTGGACTTCCCCGACCAGGCAGAGTTCCATGTGCCCTTAGTGACGAGGGCCTTGCAGTCGGAGAGGGTGGCTGTAAAGGTGGTCAGCGTCGACTTACTGCCGGGAAAGACGTAGCGTTGGGCCTACCGTCCTGGGTCGTTCCGCAATGCACACACGGTGCGCGGGTGTTGCTGCTGGAGGGACTGGGCATGGCTGACGACGCGGCGAGGATGTACATGTTCATGGAGTTGTTGGAGTGGGTTGTGTGTTTCTGACCTGAGCGAGCAATACCTTGCAACCGAGCCGCCTCGAAACAATAATATTAATTGTTTAATTTCCCGCTCGATTTACGGCCTCCGAAAATAGCGCGACTCGGTTGCAAAACTGCTGTGGAGACACGAATCATATCTGCTCTGAGTGGATGCTAAGAAAAATTGTGACCAGACTCACCTCTACTGCCATCGGACCGGCTTTCCATTTTCGGGAGCCACATGTTATATTCCGCAGTCTCGCCATTGACAATACATCCATGTAGAGCTCCGAATCGAGCCTGTGCAGCTGCTGTGCATTGAAACGCGAGCGCTAATTCTCTAGATGACAAAGATCGTGGAGAGTGGAGCCCATGGCTATGAGTAGAATAAGGTGGAGCAGTTTGGAGTGTTTCCATCTGGGTTCGAATTTAGCCATTGGCCTGGTCTCGTTTCTTCCTCGTTCTCGGCGTCCGCCTGCAGCGGGAGCAGATCAGTGACGGATCCTCGGACCGCACATCATGATCATCAGAACGGCCGGAAACCAAAAAGAGGTCCATACATACCATTTGCCAGCCTTCCGACACAGCATTTGCGGAGCAGCTACAGAAGGTTTAGCTCTCTTCAGCTTGTCCTTCTCTTCTTGTTTTTTTACGAGGTTTTTCTTAGCGCTGCCATCCACGTTACGATATCCTGTCGGGTACCTTGGCATCAATCATGTGGACAATGAATTTGGAAAGGTCTTGTGACCCTTCGGACCTTGGCAATGGAAAACCTTGTTTGCCCTTCCGCTCTTCGAGGATGTAGGACATCGGTAACGGTGGGGCGGTGTTTGTGGCTCCAAGCTGCCCCAAATAGCTACTTGAAAACAAGAAAAGCCTCCGCTCCCGCTCTGCCCGTGCTTACCAAACTGCCACATGCGGGAATTGATGGCTGATTGCCGAGAAATGAAGGTGACGGCCGTGATAATCAGGCGCTACTATTAGGAGTAGGTGCTACGTCACAGCTCTTATTTTATCCCTTGTTTCGACCATTTTTCTTTCGATCCATGCAATTTTTATGAAGCCCTGGAAATACTTGGTGTGCCGACCTGCCCAGCCAGCATGCTCGCGCCAGATTGTTCGCTGGGCACGTGAAAAGCTTCCCCACGCGGGGTCAGCTCTCGGGTAGCCTCGGGTGCGGGGCCCCTTGATGATTCAGATCAGGGGCGGCAATCCGGATCAGCCCCACAAGATGTAGCGACAGCCCTTAAATAGCGACGCCATCATTCATCTCCCTCAGCGCATTCTTTCGTCTTCCCTCAATCCTTAACCACAGGAAGACACCGAATATGTCCGAAAAGGAGAAGATCGACCAGCCGATCCATGTTGAGAAGTCCGCTCTGAACATCGTCGAGAACCCACTGCAGGTTAGTAGTCTGGTGTCTCCCTCTGTCATCCAATTCGTTGGATATCATGGAGATTGAGAAGAGAGCTGACAGTGCATTCTCCTCAGCGCGATAACAAGGACAAGGTCATCGCCGACGCCGCAGAGTTTTGCGCAGCTCACGGACTCGCCGAGCACACGGACTTGTTCCGCAGAGCCGCGCTCGTGGCTCGTGATGCGATAAATTTCGAGTCGGTTTCCTCTCTGCAAGAGGACGAGCTCGCCGCGCTCCTGTATGAGAGGGAGCACAAGTGGCATGGTCCCTTTACCATGTGGTATTCCATTATCCTGTGTGCCATTGGTGCGGCCACTCAGGGATGGGATCAAACTGGCTCCAATGGCGCCAACTTGTCTTTCCCGGAAGAATTCGGGATTGGGGGCACCGGTACTGACGAGTGGATTGTCGGAGCTGTCAACTCGATCATCTTCTTGTCCGCGGGCTTCGTGTGAGCTGCCGTTTTCAACTGATTCCGTCAATATTTTTTTCTGACCATTCCCGTTTTCAGAGGTGCATGGATCGTCGATCCCCTGAATCACTACCTCGGGCGTCGAGGCGAGATTTTCCTCACGGCCATGTGCCTCTTCGCCACTCCGATAGCCTCCGGCTTCACCCACTCTTGGCAGGCTCTGTTTGCCGTGAGATTCGTCCTCGGTATTGGTATTGGCGCCAAGAACGCCACTGTGCCCATCTTCTCGTCTGAATTGTCGCCGGCTCGAATCAGAGGCGCGCTCGTCATGTTCTGGCAGTTATGGGTCACCTTTGGTAAGTACGCCGGTCTACATACGCGTCCATGACGCTTACCCGTGTTCTCAACAGGTATCTTCGCGGGCTTTGCAGCCAACGTCATCGTCAAGAACACCGGCAAAATTGCGTGGCGTCTTCAGCTTGGCTCGGCTTTCATTCCAGCCTTCTTCCTTATGCTCGGCATCTGGTTCTGGTACGTGCCTCCGAGCTATTACTGGTATCTCCATTAAATTCATTCGTTTTCAGCCCAGAGTCACCTCGTTGGTTAATGAAGCACG